CACTGACCCAGGGAGGCTGACTAGTGGTGGCAGTCAGTTCAAGGAGGGCCAGATTCGCCTTGCACTTGTCTGCTGAGAGGAGCGTGGTAAGCCAGGCTTCCCTCACAGGATGGCATTCGGTCTGTTCCGGCTCGTCGCGCCACAAAGACAGGAGTAACTGACTCAGCTTCTAAACTGTTCAGCCAATGGAGGCAGCTGGTGCAGGTGTCCCTTTGGCCATCTCTCCTCCGACACAGCACACCAGGGCACTTAAACAGCCAGGGAACCAGGAACACGCCCAAGAAAATGACAGCGGGCTGAAGGACAGGAATACATCCGCAAAATCCAGGGAGACCTTTTCTCAGGGAGAGACCTGGGATGATACGATCTGGCTAGGCCACAAACACAATTGGGGCTAGCCTTGCGCCAGAGCGTCTCAAGTCAGGTTTCTCCTCAGCAGCCGCTGGGCAGCCCCGTGCATTTCATACCAAGTGAGTCGGTAACTGAAAAACCCAGACGAGTCTCTGCCAGGGCTTGGAGAAGGTCCAGGGACTTTGTTTAAAATTCCAGGGCTTTAAGAAAAGTAAACTTGCCCTCCGGTGATGGCTCATGCCTTTAATCCCAGCAAGGGAGGCAGAGGCAGGTGGATCTCTGTTTTCTTTTTAATTAATCAATCAACCAATCAATAATTTTACTTTAAGACAGGCTCTCATGTGCCCAAGATGGGCCTCAAATTCATGATTTGGCTGAATAATCTTGAACTAGGGTCTGTCTCTACTTGCTCAGTGCTGAGATTACAGGCAGTAGCCTCCATGCCTGGCATTCTTCAGTGCTGGGGATTAGAACCACAGCTTGGTGCATGCTGGGCAGTCTCTACCAACCGCTGCATTCCTACTCCAAGAAAGCTTCATAGATGGAGCTAATGCCCGGTCCCCATTGGCAGCTTTGCCGCTGGTTTGAGTCGGTCTTTAATTTTCTATTTCCATCCTTGTGCTCTGATGAGCAGTTTTGCCGAGAACTATTTTCTTCTCTGATGCTTGTGAAGTGCTAGGTGAAAGATTTTGCTTCGACTTGGCTCTAAAATATAAACAATCAACTAAGGTCATGACCTGAGTTAGCAAAGATCCAGAATTATGCACTTGACTTGGAGTGACTGACATTTTCCAGGGCAGGTGACTGGAATGACTAGAATTTTCCAGAACAAGCTCAGAGTCAACAGGCAAAGTGGTAGAACCTCCCTTGCAGTACCTCTGGTAAATAACCGGATGGCCCGCACTTCAGGGCTTTTCAGTGTGATTGACTTATTCTGAGCTCAATTTCATAAGCAGAAACAGAACGTTTCATTTTTTAATTTGAGAAATTTAACCTGTGGTGATAACAAATCAGATGCATCTTCCTGGAAGTGTGCAGTATGAGTTTTCCCACTCCTCAGAATGATAGAACTTGACTTTAATTTTAAAAACAAAGCAAGTTCAGAGCCTGGCAGGGGAGGGCCTGGTTTATCTGCTCCAGCATAAGCTTTGCCGAATGTTCAGGGGAAGCGGCTGGACTCCATCCTCCTGCCCCTTGCCTCTACCCTCTGCCCTACATGGAGGAGAGCAGGGCACAAGCCCTAGGGAAGCAATGTGAGGAAGGGCCACAGGGGAAGCCATCTTAAATCTCGGTGTGTGTGTATGTGTATGTATGCATGTATGAGTTTATGTGTATGTGTATGTTTGCATGCATGTGTATATGTGTGAATCTGTGTGTATGTGTATATTTGTGTGCATGTGTGTGTATGTTTGTGTGCATGTGTGTGTATGCATGTGTCAGTCTGTGTGTATGTGTATGTTTGTGTGCATGTGTATAGTGTGTGGAGAGTGTGTGTGTCCTCAGCATTGCACACTTACTTTGCCCCCATAGTGCAGGGTAGTGGCATAGCCATGAGCCTTCTGTCCCCTCAGGCAGGAGTAGGTGCCCTGGCTCTGCCCTCAGGACATCTGCCAAACATTTTCCACCATCTCCAACTTCCTATTCTTCCCAGAAACCCTGGCACCGGCGAAAACCAGTCAGGGAGTGGCGAAGGCCTGTGTCCAGCCGGACAACTTGGAAACAGAGCCTGGATGACACCGAGTCAGCCCTGTCCATGGGGGAGGTGCCAGACAGTGCATGAGTCATCGCTGCCAGGGACAGAGGGTGCTGGCTGGGGCAGTAGGAAATACCATGGCCTCCAGGCTTGGGCTTGGGACCTTTGCTCTGTCACCCGACACACAGGCCTGATACAGTACACACGCTGTGCGCAAATTTACATTTCTCTGAGCACAAGCCCTGTCCTCTGTCCACTTTACAAAGAGTGCATGAAAACTAAAGAACAACCCCCACCCACCTGCCTTTTGGTTTTCTTTTGGGGCACGATCTTCCTTCTGGCCAGGAACTCACTCAGGTTGGCCTTAAACTTGGAACAATCCTTTTTGCCACAGCCTCCAGGATAGGCCCCTGCACCAGCATAAACAAGGCCTTCTAATGAAGGGCGTGCGTAAGTCATGGGCTCATGGGCTCTAAGGAAGATTTTTGGCTCTTTGTTTCTGTCTCTTTCAGCCGGTGCAAAGAAACTAAAAACTTCAAGTGACTCAAACTCCCTGCCTGAGGGCACGCCTTGGACCGCTGCAGTCACCCGGAAACCCACTCCTACTCCATCTTCATCGCTGGTACTTGGTTAGTAGCAATCACTGTGCATCAGAAAAAGAGGTGGTGTTGTTTGTCTGGCTTCGTTTTTAAAGCATCCTTTAAAAGATTCAGTACTTTTCAATTTCGGTGTGTGAGAAATGCCATGGAGCCAAGGAATGGTGAAGAACGCTTCATCCCTCCACCAGGGAGGCAGAGGCAGGAGGGCACTCGTGAGGGCAAGCCTGGGCTACACGTCAAGACTGTCTTGAAATACAAAGAGGGAAGGAGACAGACACGTGGAAGTGTGCTTAACTGAAGGGGTCCAGGCAGCACTTCTAAAGGTTCAGGGGGGTTTTCATCCAATAGATTCAAAGTGGATTAAATGAGCAGGCAAGATGCGGAGGTCTGTGGATGGCGGTTTCAGACAGACGAGTGAGTGAATGACTCTTGTTTTCCAGATTCCCTTGGAATGTAGGGGTGTGGATGGTGGGGAGAGAAGTAAAATCCAACATCCCAGACACCTTAGAAAGGGAAAAAGCCTGGTTGCGTGTGCATGGCAGCCCCTTGCACAAGTGTGTTATGAATGACACACTCCAAGGGCACCAAGTCACACCTCTGTCCTCCTCATCCTGCTTGCTCACTTTGCCTGCAGAGCCGGGTCCAGTTCAGCCCTGGGAACTCAGGTCTGACCAGGGGCCCCACAGCCCTCTCTGCTGGCTGACTGCCTCCTCTGGAACCTCTTTTAATACAGAGCTGACACTAAGAAGACACCATTTGCTTTGAGAATGAGGCTGCCCAGAGCCCTTCCGTGCCAGGGTCCATCAGGACTGGAGAAGCGGTTCTTTCCTTCACCCAAACCTTCCTCATTGGCTTTTCTACCTCTTTAGAGCAGGCCATTCTTAGTATCCTTATTCTTTATACATTAGGGTAAGAAGCTGAAGTCGCTAAGGATTCATGTTAGTTATTCTGAAGCAGTATCCTACCTTTACCTTTGGAGGACAGCCGCCCGGTAATTAATTACGTTTGATTCCCGGTGTTGCACGCGAATGCTCCTGTGTGTGTGCTGGGCTACTCAGACTCCTGCCTGGATCTCCCGCTAATCCCTCACACCCCACAACTTTCTCATACACACCCTTGGCTTCTTTCCCCAACCCCAACTTGTCAATCTTATGGTGAAAATAGATCAAAAAGACCCAGGATGTCACGGACACATGCGGTCTTCAAAAGTGACCAAATCCTGTGCTGTCTTGTTCTAGATGATTCCTTTAGAGTAAGTAGTGAGAACTGACATAGAGCTCGCCAGGTGCTAGGAACTGCTCTGAGCACTTTGTGAACGTTAACTTACTTAGTTCCCATAGTGAACCTACAAGGTATATAACACAGGTGCTAGTAAGTATAAGCCCATTTTACAGATAAGGAAACTGAGGCACTGAAAGGCTAAGTACCTAAATAATATCATGTAACTAGTGAATGGTGAAGGAGTCAGAATTCCAGCCCTTGTGTTATGCTTAATTATCCGTGTCTCCCATAAAAAACTCACCACACACACACACACACACACACACACACACACACACACACAAATACAAACACCACCACCACCATCAACAACAACAAGGTTAAAAAGCAAACAATGTTCATAGCGGAAAGGGGACACTGGAGGTTACAATTTGATTTGAGACTGTAGCCTAAATAAAGGTGGAATTCTCAGATCATCAACGCGGGCCAAGATGTCCTCACGTAATCCCCACGTGAGGCACAGAACACTGGCTCGACAGCTTCTTTGTTAAATATTTACAGAGCAAAGAGTACCATCCTTCACACATGACTCATTTGCAGCGTGCCAGATCCGAGAACACAGATAGAATAGCTCCGTCTAGTAGACACTGCGCAGCGCTGGAGAGGCCCCAGGTGCAGAGAGAGAAAGAGAGAGAGAGAGAGAGAGGGAGGGAGGGAGGGAGGGAGGGAGAGAAAGTTATAGAGAGAGAGAGAGAGAGAGAGACCTCGCCTAAGACACATACCATCATCATGTCTCTGACCTGTAATTGCCTTCTTTTCACTAGCCAGCTACGCGACTCGAGGAATCTCAATCTTCCATCACGTCTTGAAGACCTACCTGAAATAGCGATAAACTAGGCACGGTGGCTCACCGGCCTATAACCCCAGCCCCAGGGAGGCTAAGGCTGGACGACTGCCGTGACTTCAAGGCTAGCCTGGGCTACATAGTGATAGCGTGTCTCAAAAACAAAAACAAAGACAACCAAGAAGCAAAACAAACAAAAAAACCTCAGAACGAAATAAAAACAATTGCCCGAAGGCACTGGGAAATGATAAGGCAATGCACACGAGAGGTTGCTTTAGCGCCGACGCAGTACCTGCTTCGACCACGTGGTCCATGGTGGGAAACCGTTTGTACACCGCGGTGCTCACGGATCGGAAGATGAGCAGGGACGTGAGGTTGACGTAGCGCATCAGCGTCCTCCTGAGCAGGCGCCCGTGCTGGTCGCTGCCGTGGACGCTGCTGGAGATGAGGAACATGAGCCTGTCCGGCCAGGGCAGGTTCACAAACTGGTTCCACCACCGGTTCACCACCAGGGTGACGTAGAACCCTGCGGGACAACGGGGAGTCAAGCGTGCGCTTTGTTGCAGCGTGCAACTCGACGGACGGACGGACACACTTGCAGCGGGAGTTTAGCCTTTGGAGGGGATTGAGATCTGCAAGGATGTTGTCATCCGCACCTTAACGACCTTGCCCCCCGAGAGGGGGTGGAAGAGTCCTATGTGCCTGGCAAGTCAGGGCCCCCGGTAAGTGGGCGTTAGGACTCAGATAGTGAGTCCTAATGGAGGGTTAGTGGAGGGGAAGCTCAGTTGCCCCAAAGCAGACCAGACCGTGGCCTCACACTGTCGGATGTTAATTTAGCAGAAGCAGCCCCGAAGGCCGGCCGTGTGCCAGTGCAAGAGCGGCCGCTTTCCCGCATGCCGCTCAGCCCCGAAGCACGCTCATGGCTCATGCAGTCATCTGTGTCATCTCGTGGTGACAGCTCTGTGGCTGCACTCTGCGTGTGACCTATACTTACCAAGCACAAAGGTTACTGGAATTTGCTCAGCATATCTGTCACAGTAAATTGATAATTTTTCAAAGTAACGTTTTTGGGCTCCTGTAAGTACCAATCTGGAGCAAAAATAAAACGCACAGCCCTTTATGATATGGTTCTTCTGCACCTGCGCTGCAGGTGGCATCAACTGCAAACAATTAAGCACAAATACTCTCAGGTGATTTTTGTTTTTTGTTTTTGTTTTTGTTTTTTTCTTTTTTGGTCTGTTTGCTAGTTTGTTCCTTTTTCCTTAAACAGGCCTGTCTCCGCTATTTTTTAAAATTGATTTGTGCTTCAAGAAAATTGAGTCTTTAGCATATAAGTCTGTCGGCTGTTAAACAAAGGATTTGTTAACCTTTTTTTTTTTGTTTGTTTCTTAAAACTTTATATCTCTAAATTATATAATCGAGTCATTGGATTTTTGAGAAAGACTTGTTACAAAAGAGTGAGTGTTTTTTGTTTGTTTGTTTGTTTTTTATTTCCACTGAAAGCTAAGGCAACACAGGCGCCAGGCAGACACTCACTGAATTCCAGCCCCAACTTTTCCTTTTTGTTTTTGAGACAGGGTCTCACTTAAGTTGCCTAGGCTGGCTTGAGCTCTCTCTGTAGACCAAGTAGGTCTTGAACATGTAATTAATTCTCCTGCCTCAGCCACCCAAATAGCCGGAGTTACGGGCCTGCACCACCAGGCTGGGAATCCACTTTTCAATTATTCACCAGGAATACTTGAAAGAAAGAGGTTATCGATTTGGTGGGTCATAGTTATTAAGGCATTATTGAGTAACAACAGTAGGCATCTTGATCTAGTCCAGAATGTATTAAATCAATTTAATTAAGTAAATTAGCACATTCTAGATCATGCATATCCCACACCAAGTAAGGTGACTGTTTACTTGAACACTCATAATTATTTGGAATATAAATAAAACTGATTCAATCTTAAAGGTGGAAAGAAACTTTCTTTATCACATCTGGCTGTCTCAAAACTTTTCTTGTAGCTCCGACTTAACCTCCCCAAACTCATATTCTGAGATTGCTAGACATGCCTGCCCGTATCGAGACTGTGATGTTTCAGGGAGGGAATTCAGAGCCCACAGAAATTTCAAATGGCGGGCTACCAGTAATCAACAAAACGTGGGAAGAGAAGCCACACAGGAAATCTGCAGAGAGCAACAGTGCAGTTCACCTGATGCAGGAAGAAACCGAGGGGAAGGTCCATCGGAACAAGGGTCAGAAGTGCCTTGGGTGGACTGTTGGTAGAGAGGTGGAGGGACAGTCCCAACCAATGGGACTGCAGGCAGGACACTGTCGGGAGCTGCTACTCATGAAGAAAGAGTTTGGGGTCCAGGGGTGTGTGGAGTTCCTGTCTCAGCTCTGGATGAGGTAACAGAGTTCATGGTCTGTGAAGGTCGCGGTGATGACAGATCACAGACAGAGTGGCTTTGCATTATGTAAACAGAAATGGTCAGAGAGTATTTAGAGTGGAAAGTGTAGCTCTTAGGGTCAGTTAGGCCAAGCCAGGGTATCGCACAGGTCTGCCATAGATGTAGACAACTGTCAAGGCTCTAGGAGTCTCCATTTTTCAGTTTATGGTGTTGTAGGGATAAAAAAAAAAAATCAGTTATATAATCTTCAAACTATATATATTCTAATTATATATATCTTCAAACATAGTACCCAAGTGGGTGGTATTAATACAAATTGGCCAAAGAAATAATAGACACAGAAATGTTCTTAGCTAGACAATACTTTAGAGATTATTTTTTTATCAGATTTCCTCCAAATTGGAAGAGATACAACCAGTAAAGTCTATAGTAGGCATAAGAGTGAGCTCTGCTTATATTCCCCTAGGTCTGCTTGACTTTCTTGAACTATTAATTCAACAGTTTTTGATAAATCTTTAAGATAAAATGGAACTGTTTGGGCCGGAGAGATGGCTCGGTGGTTAAAAACACTGGCTGCTCTCCCAGAGGACCCGGGTTCAATCCCCTGCACCCATATGGCAGCTCACAACTGTCTGTAACTCCAGTTCCAGAGGATGTGTCCCATTTATATGGATATAAATGCAGGTAAAACACCAATGCATATGAAATAAGTTTTTTAAAATCTACTTTTCCAAGAATTTACAATGAGGCTTTTAAGAAAGAAGGGGAAACCAAGTTAGAGTGATTGTTATAAATGCATGCACTCTTTGATTTTCAGAAAGACAAAAATGTATGTAGACTTTTTTGGGGGGGAATATGGGTTTGCCATGGGAGCAAAAGTTGAGACCCCAGGGAGCATTTCTGGCAATACATCAACTGTACTAGGGCTTCTTCTACTCTAAGCAGCAGTAGCAACAGTCACCTCACATTAGTAAAAATAAACTATTGAGATAGTGGTCCTGGAACACTGCTAATCTGCCACCATTTCATATTCTGAAGGTCCATGACATATGACTAAGCTGTTAAGATAATACACATGATATCTGACAAATATTAGAGGTCTGTCAGGACATTTGGCAAAATCTATTCTTGCCATTTTTGTCTTGGTGTTGTTTCTTTTGGTTATTTTGAACTGGGGGCTGAACCCAGGACCTAGCACTTTCTCATCAAGCATCTTACCACTGAACTAAATCCCCAGACCCACAAAATCCATCCTATATACTTGTTTGGATCATAGTGCTTTGGTTTTGAGACAGGGTGTCTTATAATCCAAGGAGCCAAGGGTTATCTTGAACTCCGGTCCCTCCTGCCTCTGCCTCCCCCATACTGGGGTTTCAGGTTTGTGTCACTGTGCCTGGCTTCATGTGACACTAGGAAATGAACCCAGGACCTCATGCATGCTAGGCAAGCATTCTACCGCCTGAGCTACATCCTCAGCTCCAGGATGGAAGTTTTGACGGCTAACAAAATAGTTGTTCACATTTTGCTTTGGGTAGTGCTCAGTCGACTCAGTGAACATCCCTCCTTTCCAAGTGGGAGGCTGTAGGTAAGACAATGACTTAGTTTGTTCATTTGTGGTAGAAGAAGCATTGGATACCTAGCTGAGCTGGAAATACAGCCTCAAAAAACAAACAAAAAACAAAACAAAACAAAACAAAAAAAACCCCAAAGCTTTCCTATTAGCTTCCTCCTTATTCTATTTTAGTTTAATGATTCATAAAGCTTTTTTTTTTTTAGCACACTGATGAGATTTAAGACTAATTTTTAGCCATTGAGAGGTTGATATGTTAGCCCTCAAAGTGTCTCTCAACCTGACGGGAACACATCTTGACGTTATAAAGAATAAATACCTCCTTTCTAGAAAACGACGTCCTGAAATCAGAAGACATATAGGAAACACATTGGTCTTCCTGCCTTAATTCTTTTGTTGAGGCACTGGTAAGGTTTGAGAACATGGTCCCGGGTTAGAGCTTACCATCCAGACTACAGGAAGAAAAGCTGCCTGATGAGCTCTGTTCACCCATATGGAGCTGTAACAAGCTATCAGGTCTCACGTTCAAACTATGAATGACATCGTTGAGAGACACACAAAAATATTTGTCTGTGGGGCTTTGCCATTAATCCTCACACGATAAGGGTGTGAGTATAAATCTTTCAATTTACACCAAAAGCAACATGGCTGGTACCTCGGTGGGACTGGACCTGGAGCAGTTGCTATCGCTTACTCCTAATACCTGGCTAGGTGTGGACTAAAACACCCTGTCCCGGAGGGGGGAAAAAAAAAAAAAAAACGACAGAGAGAACCATGCAGACGGAGAGGTGACGCAGTGCCAAGGCCAGCGGCAACCAAGGGGATCGGGTTTTTGAGACTGTGTTCTTACATTTCTTACATAACATCTGAGGGCCGTTTAAGGAGACATGCAAAGCAAAGAGTACCTGTACACCAGACTGATAGCTGTGTAAAGAACAGCAAAAACAATAAACTCCCTGTACAGGAGCTTGTAGATGCTGCCTCTCCACTTGAGGAGCAACCTATGAAATCCAAAAAAAGTTGCATTGGCTACTTTACTGGAGTAAGTGACAGTCATCTCGGATAGTTTTGTTCTAGAAGAGCAAGAAGACAAAACATGGGTGAAAAATAACATTTGATGTCAGCTTTGGCACGTGCTTTTTTTTTTCTAATTGAAAAAAAAAAACTAAAGCTGGTGATTAATTAGCCAATCCACCCTCTCTACTTTCTCCCGCTCCGTTTCATAGTTTAGCCCTTGTAGATACCACCATCTCACCGTCTAGAGTCTCAGTACCAGAGTACCAGAGCCTCAGTACCAGTAGCACAGAAGGGGAGGAAGATGCTCTCTGGAAAGTGTTCTTAAAAGCCCATAAACTTCTGTAATTGGTTAGTATCATTGAGCTATTACCCAATAAATACCTAAATTAACATGTATGATATGCTAGATGCATTGTAATGTCACTTCTTAGTAGTAGGAAGATTTAGGAAACCAGTTTGCTGAACTGATGGTTTTAAAAGCAATGGCCATACTCATCATGGCTTGGGTCCGTGTCTTTAAACTTCCTAAGAGGAGAAAGTTGTGGCTCACTTCTTAGGAACCAGGAGTTATTGTAAGGAAGAAGGAAGCCAGGCCCTTCGATCACTTTAACTGCTGGGTTACTCTGCAGAGTCCTACTGGGTGGGATGTGCATCTGAGTGCTCTCCGGATGCACAAGTAGAATTCTGTATCCGGAGCCCATGCCTGCTGGGCAATCCTGCTGTATTTTCCCTTTGGAAAGTCCTAGTGAGATGCTTAAAGGTGGCTGACCTTCTGCTCGGAGCTGAACAGAATGAGCTTTGTTGTTGTTGTGAGACAGTGGCCTAGAACGCGGTATTTTGCCAAGGATGACCTTGAGCTTTGGATCCACCTTTTGAGTGAGGGCTGGAGTTGTAGGACTGAGCCACTGTGCTTAATTTACTAGGCACCGTCCCGTGTACTTGAGGCAAGCACGCTGCCAACGCATCCTCAGTGCGTCCATTATTTAGGATTCCTTGTACTGCGTCCTGTGCCCTGGATGTGAGCAGGATGGGAATGGAACCCTAAGCCTGGTCCTCACTGAGCTTTGTTTTGCCATTGCTTCTCACTGACGTGTGCTACTCAACTGTGAGATGCATAAAGTAAAGCTGACCTGTGGGTAGAAATCTCGCTCAGCTATTGGCTGGCGTAGGTCTCAAGCAAACAGAGTGAGATTTCCGTAAAATAACAACTTTCCTCAAATGGAACTATGAGGCGCTTCTCACAGAGTGACTTAGGCTGAGAACATGTAGTTTTTAGGTCAAATTATAACACACACACACACACTAGATGCTTTTCCTATAGCACAATGTACATCATACATTCTATCACAAGTGAAAACGTCTCATTCAGATAGGCAAACATTAACTGTAATTAGGCTGTTTTCTCTAAGGAAGTATGAGCTGGCAACTGTATTCACAGCAGCAGCAGCAACAACAAAGTCACCGATTTACCCTCCAAAATTATTGATTTTAATTAAAAACCAAACCAAGGCCGTTTGCCTAAGTAAGTGGCCCTATAAAAAGATGGGATGCCCGCCACAAAACACACTCCCCTTTCCCGTGGCTACCTTGTCTCTTTGCCCAAGGAGAAAACACTTGACACAGAAGAGGGACACAACACAATAAACGGAGCCAGTGCCATCAGCTGTCCTCCAGGTAGGCCGTGTTAAATAAGTCTCTGACCACCTTCCCTTTCTTCTGTTTGCTCCTTCATCCTTCTATCTAGGCTCTGTCAAAACCCCTAAGCCCACGGCGCACCAAGGTCACCGTTCAAGTGCATAGCTGACTGCGCACTAACCGTTTTCTTTGGCGTCTCCCACGGGAAGGGAGTCTTCAAACGCCGGCTCTCACTGGAGAGGCGCTTCAGATCGTGGCTCCAATTCCACTCTTCACTCGTGGACCGTGGCCGTCAGGGTTCCGCCCGCTCCCTGGCTGCTGTGAGGTTCCAGCATGTAGCCAGTCCGGGGTTAAATGTTTTTCCACTTGCAGAGGCCTGTTTGTGCCAGTTTGCCCACTGATGACAGTTATAGCTGGGGACAAACAGAAGCGACAGCTGCTGATGTTGCTTTTTTCTAATCTATAATTATAACTCCACCTGCCGCCCAAAGTACCCCTTCGAACAGAACTCCGGTGGTGACATGAAGATGCTGGGCCGTTCCAGTCCTGCAAGATTTGTTTCAGCCCTGGCTTGGGATCAAGGAAGAAAGGTCCTTCTCAACGGAAAAGTTCTGGACAGACTCCAGCAGCCAAAGAGGGGGATTAGGACAGTCTTCTGTGCATGAAGAATAGATTCTTAGGAAGCTGGGGCAGACAGGAATATAAACAAGAATTCTGATCGCCTGAGAGCAATTGAGCCTGTTCCTCCACTAAAAGCAACAAGTGTGCGTGTGTAAGTGCATGCAGGCGTGTGCATGTGCGTCAGGGGAGTGTGTATATTTGTGTGCATGTGTGTGGTATGTATGTGCTATGCATGTGTATCTAGGGTGTGTGGTGTATATGTTTGTAAGCACATGCTTTGTGTGTGTGCACGTGTGTATATCTGTGTGCATGTGTGTGGCATGTATGTGTACATAGAGTGTATATGTGTGTGGTGTGGCATATGTGTGTGGTGTCTTAGAAATCATAGAGAATCACTGCGTGTGATACACTGGGAAACCACAACACAGGGATCTACCATGTTTCCCTGTAACTAGGAAAACTATAAATTATTTGAGTGGTTTCTTTCAGATCAGTAATAATGCATATTTTCTTCCTTAAAAGCTGTTCATCTGAGTTCCTTAGGTGGTAGGATAATTAATCTGAGATCGTTTCCTGGGTCCCATCATTGTGAGCTTGAAGAGAATAATGTGAAAAAAAATGTTTGTTTTTGGAGAGAAAAGTGTAGAATAAAATATTTGAATCAAGGCTAGGCTAAGCCTGGTGGATCATGCCTGTATTCCTATCACCTGGAAAGTTGAGGCAGGAGACTTGCCATGAATTCAAGCCTAGACTGGGAAATTCAGTAAGCTCCAGGACAACCTTGGCTAGTAAATGAAACTCTGTCTTGAAAAACAAAGCAAAACAAACAAACAAAAAGCAAATGGACAACCCCCCAATCCCTTAAGAATGTATAAAATAAAAGAAATACATATATATATAAAATTAAAAATTTTAAAGAATTATTAAGTTGTATGTACATTTCATCAATTTGGTCAGACTGTGAGTGCTTTAAAGTCCTAACAGAGTTGAAGGTGTTATCTTTTGTTTTTTGTTTTTTGTTTTGTTTTTTTTACTTTTTTTGCCCTTATTCTCGTCCCTAACTTCAGGTTGAAGCACTGTAAATAGTGGATATTCATTTAACAATTTCTCGCTAACTGATCACCCCACTGAGGCTCCAATAACAGATAATGGATATTATTACTGTTTGAGTATCAGTTCTTATTCACTAGTTCACAGCCGTGAGTACCTTGGGGGATGGGGAATTTGTGAACACACAGAATGCATACACACCGTATTTCACACCTTATATCTGAGTTGTCTTGAAAGGTGGTTGGATAGACTTGCAATTGCATTTACAAAGACTGTCAGGTCTGGTGGGTTAGGGAGTGTGAACTTTTCTAAACCCTCACATGCACAGGAGAAGAGGTGAGGCCTTACGCCTCCACTGCTGGCCCCTAACCCTCAGCATGTTTTACAGCAGAGGTACCTGAGACCCAGGAAACCAGCATGCTTTGCCGGGCAGTGTAAGCATTGCTGGTTGGTGCTACGTCTCCCAACAGGATGATGTTTTTCTGTTATGGAACATCAAGAGAAGGTGTGGTGGACCATTGCTACACAAACAAGTCATGAGATACAGACGGATAGACAGGACTAAAGTCAAAACATAAATCAAACGAAGTGCCAAACTTTAAAGCTTAAAAAATCAAACGGTTCAATCATTCTATACTGTCCATCTATTTTGCTTTGAGGCCGAGCCTCTCAGTGGCCTAGAACTCTCCCCGTAGGCCATGCTGGCTGGCCCCAGGGAGCCACACTGAGCCCTGTCTCCAGCACTGAGATTACATACACAGGAAGCTATGCTCAGCATTTTTCACGTGGATGCTTGCGATTGAACTCAGTGCTTCCAAGGTGAGCGCTCCACTGACTGAATCGTCCCCCCACCCGCCTTAACTCATCATTTTCTCAACAACACAATGTTTTGGTTCGGTTGCTTTATGAACTGCACACAAATTCTTATCCCTACAGGTAATGCTTTCCTGAGTCCCGAGTCCCATAGGCAGTAATCTTCCTGAGAACTCACACCCTTAGCCCATCTTGGGGTTTCCCGGATGCGGGCTTCTCTGATGGCTTCTAGGGCTCTAAACCAGGCAGCTGCTTGGGGAGGCCATGTGGTACAGCAGGTGTGTAAAGTTTCTGATACAGGTGCCATTGCACAGGGAATTCTGCCCCATACTGAGCAAAGGCTAAGGAAAACCTTGGAAACCTCCCTCTCAGGCTCCCTCTTGGTTTTCAGGGAACAAAAGTTTCAGCTTTAAACCCAGAGGAGGCTGGGTAGTGAGGAGTCTGAGAGTAATTGCCCGTGCTGAGAGTAATTGCCAACTCAACAAAACAGAAATGCATTAGTTCAAGTTCTGAAGGTGATCTCTTTTGAAATGGATGCTACGGAAACTCGGTTCTATTTTAGAGATGAAAGCTCTGAGTCTACAGAATTATGACGACGGTGCTGAAAACATATCCAGCGCTCAATAATCAATGACATTCCTTAAGTAAATGGTCCCACTCTGCTCTAACGCATTCCAGATTGCTAGAGGAAAAAGGAATTACAGCATAGAGCCAATTACAACAAGTTCAATTTCACACAGGCGCGCGCGCGCGCACACACACACACACACCATGTAAATCCAAGTACATTGTTTATTCTGAACAGCTATGAAATTCTGTTACTTGACAAACAGTGTTTGGAAATCATATTAATGTGTGGGAAAGGGGAAGGTAAAGGGAAATTTTACCCTGAAATAAGGGTTAGCCACGTGTGGTGACATGCATACACTGTTC